CTCCACCAGAGCAGTAAAAGCAGGTCTTGTGTTCTTTGCAGAGAGAGAGAAATTGAGGCTCATGGGTGGTGACAGCAAATGCTCAGGGAGAGTGGAAGTGTGGTACAAAGGCTCCTGGGGAACAGTGTGTGATGACTCCTGGGGCCTGGCAGAGGCCGAGGTGGTGTGTCAGCAGCTGGGCTGTGGCCCTGCCCTGGATGCCCTGGGAGAAGCTGCATTTGGCCCTGGAAATGGAAGCATCTGGCTGGATGATGTGGCGTGCAGGGGTAGGGAGTCTTCCCTGTGGGCCTGTTCCAGTGCCCCCTGGGGACAGAGTAACTGCAAGCATGAGGAGGATGCAGGTGTGAGGTGCTCAGGTGAGTGCTAGGGCATTGGGCATGGGAAGGCACTGCAGCTAAGTGTGTGTGTGTGTGTGTGTGTGTGTGTGTGTGTGTGTGTGGATGTCCAGAAGCCCTTCCTAGACTGCCCTCTGCTCAGTGCTTTGGCTCCAGAGAGGCTGCACTGTAAACTCCTCCCTTCTGGGAGAGAAACATGTACAGCAATAGTACCTGTGACATAGTTACTGTCCAATCAGTTAAGTGCACTGATCCCAATTTCTTTCTTCTTTCATCAGGTGAAAAAAAGACTACTCTTTCAACACCTAAACGTAAGTGGTTCTTCTGCCCTGTGTAATATAATAGAGGAAATGTTCAGATTTTCAGAAACCTGAGCTACGGAATCTAGCATACTTCCTGCAAAATTCCTGTAGACTTGGTTATCCAGTATTAGAAGCAACTATATTTGTTAAGTTTAGGCAGCAAAGGGCACCAATGTCTCAACAGCATTGCCTTAGGAAATCCCTTAGACTGAGAATAAAACAATGGTGGTCACAGTTTAGTGTGGGATCTGGGCTTGTGCATTTGGCTTCAGGCAAATGCACTGTAGTGAAGAATTGTGGAGGACTGAAATAAGTGTTTTTCTCTGAGTTTATGACATTTTATAAAGTCATTTTTCCTTCTCAGGCATCAGTTCAGGTTCATCCTCTGTACCTGGTTACTTCTCCTTATATGAGATTATCTGCATCATACTGGGAATACTTCTTTTTCTGATCCTCATTATCTTGGGAACTCAGCTGGGAAGATGGAGAGCAGAACATCAAGGTGGAGTTTAAGGGTGAAGTTTATCTTGAAGTTATTTTGAGAAACACTGAACTTGTTATGACTATTTAAAAAAGTAGATATGACTACTTGTATTCTTGTTTTTTGGGAAACTATCTTCTGAATTATAGACTTCAAGATTGAAAAGATTTTAGTATTTGGACTTGGATTTAATGTGTAAGCTATCATATACGATGGTATAACTGAAAAATGTCAGTACAACTGTCTAGAACACAGTTAGGGTCATGAGCCCTACTTATGTCCCTTTAGAGCACAGAATTAAAGAATGGATGCTGGCATTGCAAAGAGATTTCCCCAGGGGGGTTATTGGAAAACAGAATGATTTCTTGTAAGACATATGCCTATAAATTCATGTTGCTTTCTCCCATCTTAACCACTGAAGAAGCTGTTGATGAGGCCTTGTACCAAGAGATAGAGTACCTTGTGAAAGCAGAGAAGACAGATCTGCTGGACAATGCAGGTTTGTTATATACCCTCTTTTGTTTTATGAATTTATCATCAGTGTGCATATCTTCAACAAGCACAGACCCACTGTTAAGTCAAACATTCAAGTTATACTTGTAACAGCCAAGATTGAATATATTGCCAATGGGAGACGAAATTAAAAGGAATTATGGAACTTTTTATTAGCTAGCTGGCAACCTATGCACTCCCCACCCCATCTGGGAAGACACAAAAAGCACAGTTATTTGTTCCTTACTTGCTTTTATAATTTCTTTGTTGCTATGACAACTGGGAAGCAATGTAGTTCCCCTTATATCCTATAGGTGTAGGTTTAGGGCATGAATGTGGTGCTCCTATACCTTATAGGTGCAAGGTTCAAACAGAGGGATTTATGGGTAAGTATGGGCAAACTGTTTGTATCTTATTGCCCTAAATGGCTACTATCTACTCCTTATCTCCTATATGTTCATATAGGAAGTTTCTGACAGGGAAGGGGAAGGAGTGAGGAATGGGGTTATTTAGGCAATGCTGCCTCTATGTAAATACTTCAGAAAATGATTAATTGAATTGTGCCTCAGTCTCTTTTACTTCTAAAAGTGAATAAGGTAGTATGCTAGATGCCATCCCTTACATTCCTCTCTCTTAGGCATATTTTTCTTTCTAAGAAACATAACATCTCTTTGAAGTTGGCAGCTTATCTCTTACTTAATATGTTTTATTAATTTTATTGAGAAACAAATAGCAATGAGACAGTTTCAAAACCAGTTAGTAAGACAGTTAAAATAATTAATACATTGCATGTTGTTGTCTTCATAGCACTTATTCATAGTACAAGATGCAGACATGATATCTTGTCCAAACACTATTAGTACAAATCTTTTTTCTCTTTGAATTAAGAGCAAGTAGTTGTATATACAGATACAAAATCCCTTTCTGTACATTGTTTCTACCATCAACAGAGACAGTGTCTCTTCCTCCTTTGAGTAACACAATTATTGCATGGGTGTTATAGGCTCTTCAGAGCCTACAGCCTCATAAGAAGGTGGACTGGACCATATACACATCCAGCAGGCTTCTATGACTGAAGGCTAGAGAAGTTTAGCAAATAGTGGATTTTGCTAAGCAACTGGTAGATTCCGGTCTTAGCTCCTAGGCTACCCATCTCTTTTTTGGGGGATTGAGTCTTGACCTGTGTGCAAAACTCATCTGAGTACCTGGTGTGACAACCAGAACATTTTTCCTGGTACACCTGAATATTTGCATCACTTTGTATCCACCAACTGGTTAGGGAGTTCAGGTCCCTACGAGGGCTTCCTTTGAAAACTCCTTTGAGCCTGATTGTCTCACAACACCAATGTGGGCAGTATGTCTCTCTTTCTTTAGCACAATTACCTCCCTTCACCTTTGAGCACACATATAGCCCATGCTCCACTATATCTAGGTCCAAGTTTTTGCCTTCATGTGCAAAGGAGTATGGATTGATTGCCTGATTTTGCACCTCACAAGCAGGGAACGAATATTTTACTGAGTCAGCCCTTTCTGTCCAATATTCTGGGTTCCATAATTTACATGTTGATACAACAAATACTACAATCTATTGAGCACAAAGGAGGTGCAAAGAGGCAAGCACAGTCTGTCTAAGTCTGACAGAGTGAATCCTTGGTCACTCGAGAGTGTAACTGCATAAGTGTTCTCCTGGAGTCTCCAAGCCAACAGCAGTCATTGTTCATCCCATGATAGCTGCTGAGGAGATTAACTTCACCTCAAACAGGAGGTTCACTGTGATGACTTGAATGGAGCTCTCTCTAGCCTGAATCATTCAGACAATTAAGGTGTGCAGGGTTTTGGGGAATGCAGGGCTGATAGTACCTCAGCTACTCACTTTTTCACTTGTGAGTGATTAATCTATGGCTTGTGACCTGCAACTCTAACACAGGTAGGTATGCAGTCAGGATGACATCACATAACCCCTCCCATCTGGGGCCTTTCTCTCCAGCTTTTGATTACCACCAGGTCCTCCAATTTGAAAGTACATACAGGGACATGAAGAGGGAGTGGGTAACATTGTAATACAGTTTTCTGTAGTCCCTTCAAAGTCCTTTGTAAGGCCTGCAGTTCCTGTTGCATACTCCAAGTCTCAGTCTCTCACAGTCCCTCCAATACTGGCACCAAAGGTGGCAATCTTCCAAAAAGGATTTCAAAGGGAGTGAGCCCATCCCAGTATAGGGTGCAACGTGACCACAGTAGGGCCATAGGAAACATAGACATCCAGCTTGCACCTGTTTCCTGGCAGAGTTTGGACAGGTTGGTCATCAGGGTATAGTTTTGCCACTATACTTGGCCCAAATTTTGGGTTCAGTAGGCAGAATGCAGTTTCCATTTTAGGCCCAGAACAATGGAAATGCTCTGGACTACTCTACCCATGAAAGCAGGCCCATTATTTGAGCTTACTGTCATGGGGATGATTAGTTTCATCAGTACTTTTACCACCTCTATGGAGGTCTTAGTTCTGGTGGGCAGGGCCTCAACCAATCCTGAGCAGGTGCAAATAAGCACTAACAAATACTTTTTGTTTCCAACCATTGACTTGACCTCAGTAAAATCCACTTTGACATATTCAAAAGGGAGGGTTTCCTGTTGGCACATGATGCCTGGTTTACACTGTGGGTGAGAAACTGGATTATTGTTAGCACAGGTCACACATTTTTTGGCCACTGAGGTGCACAAAGTCCAAAGTCTGGAGATAGAGAAAGAGTAACAAAGCAGCTTGATCATAGATGTCTTGCCCAGGTGGGTCTTGTCACGTAGTTCTCAAATCACAAAATGCCCCATATGTTCAGACAAAAATACTCTTCTCCTGACAAGATTTGCCACCCATTTTTTTCTGATGCTCCTTCTGAATTGGCCCACAATAACTCAGTCTCAAAATATTTGGCTGGCTGAAGGAGTGATGATACTATGATATGTGGTTCTGGCAGTGAGCCCCTCACAGCATCTTGCTTTGCTGCCAGGTTGACAGCCTTATTACCTCAGCCCTTTTGATGTCCAGGACAGTGAATCACTGCAACTTCAGTGGGCTACTATACTTCCTGTAACAAGTTAAAATCTCATGGGAGTTTTTGATGTTTTATTTTCCTCCTGTAGTTATGAGGCCTCTTTCCTTTTGGGCTGAAGTCTCCAGGAGCAGTGTTTCTTACCACACTGTCCTTTCCATAGACACAGGACACTGTTCCTGCCATATGTACTCCATGTAGTACCATACTGCTTCTATCTGAAAACAGGACAAGATTGGGGTCTTGGAGCAGTGTGTCCTAAAGGTCAGGTATTGCAGAATAAATAGCCTCATGGTCTCCACACAATCTTGATCCAAAGGGTTCCAAAGGCATTGGAAGGAAGGATGCAGGAATAATGGCCTGTATAGTCTGAAGAGTTAGATGTGAATCTTCAAGGAGGGCTGCCTGGTACTGGGTCAATCTAGTACTAGAAAGCCACTTGCCACTAGTGCCTCACAGCACTGTCTCCCCTGCATGGGACAAGAACATGCTCAACATCTGTCCCAGAGTTAATATGCCAACCTCCTTTACTAATACAGTAGCTGCTGCAGAGTTCTGCAGACATGAATACCACCCAACAGCCATAGTCTAGTCTTTGGACAGATAGACCACAGGGCACTTCCATGGCCCTAAGGTCTGAGTTAAGACTCTCCTTGAAACTCCTTTTTTTCCTCATGAACAAACAGTTGAAAGGGATCATTAATGTCTGTTAGGGCCAGAGCAGGAGCCTTCAAGAGTTCCTTCTTTAATCCTCAAAGGCTTTTGCTGTTCTGAATTCCAATCCAAGTGGGAAGCTAATACTTCCCTTAAGGGGTTCATGCAAGGGTTTAGCAATACAGGCAAAATTTGATAGCCAAAACCAACAAAAATCCACTATTCCCAGGAACTCTTATAACTCCTTTCTAGTGTTGGGCTCCTATTGCCCTTGAATAGCTTGGGTCTGGGAGCTCAAGAAGGCATGGGTTTCCCATGTCAGGGTGAACCCAAGGAATTTCACAGTTTGAACACGTATCTGAGCATTCCTCTTAGAGATGAGGTACCCCTTATCTTGCAACACCCCTAATAGCTTATTTATTCCATCTTTACCCAACTCTTGGGTCTCTAGCTAACAGATCATCTATATACTGCATGAGAGAAAAGTTAGGATTGTTATTACCAAAAGGCACCGGATTTATGAAAAAGCTTTTCCAAAACAGTAAAGTGAATTTTAAATCCATGGGAAGTCACATCCACATCACTAGCACTTGTACCCCCACCGCATCCTCCTATTAAAGGTAAAAAATTCCTGGGAAGCTGTCAAGAGAACACAAAAAAACCTATTTTCAAATCTAACAGAGAATATCAGATCCAGTTAGGTTGGAGCAGACTTAACACCTTAAAATATAAAGTGTTACCAGAGAACTGTTATTTCTTGTTGACCATGGACATTTTAGTAGTTAAATCTTTGTAGAGTGTTAACAGACAGCAGGTATACTTTTACACAGAACACTCAACACACAGAAACAGATTATCTATCTATCTATCTATCTATCTATCTATCTATCTATCTATCTATCTATCTATGCAACTTATTTATTTTTGTTGTATTGGCAGAACCAGGGATTGAACTCAGACCCTTGAGCTTGCCAGGGAAGCACTTATCCTACTGAGCCAATTCCCTGGCCCCATTATATCAATGTCATTTAACGATGTCTTTTTTTTTTTTTTTGGAACCGGGGATTGAACTCAGGCCCTTGAGGCTTGCCAGGGAAGCACATATTCCACTGAGCCATCTCCCTGGCCCTGAAATGTCTATTTTAGTTAGCATACATGTCATGAAGTTTTTGTTCTTGTTGGCTTGACATGAATATATACATATATATATATATATTCTTATCTTTTAGCCAATGACCAAATTATTGGGAGTGTCTTTAAGGAGATTATTGGGGATCTCCTTTGATGAACAAAGTTTAGCTATTCTTCTATCTACCAATCAAGTGTCCTGTCCAATAATCTCTCCCTAATTTAATGATTTTTTTATACACTAATTTTGACATCACTTAAACCAGCTGGTAATTCAGGAGAAAATATGCTTTAAAGTCTATTTTTAAAGCTCAAGGGAACATGGAGATAGCTCAGTAGAATAAGCATTTTCCTGGCAAGCTAAAGGTCCTGAGTTCAATCCCTGGTACCGCAAACAAACAAACAGCAGCAATAAGTGCAACGGCTAGGCTTGTGCCCTTCTGCATCTTCAGGCTGGCTGTCACAAGAGGCAAGAAGGGAAAGAAGAAAAGAACTAATACCACTGCAATACCACTGCTCCAGTCTAAGCTACGGACTTGGTGGTTATCTCCTGGCATGAGTGCAGCTGGTGATGCAGGCTCACTGGGGACAGCAAATAAAAAATTGAGACAATCAAACAAGTGGACAACACTTCTGAGACAGAATTTGGTTTCCTTTTCTTTTCTATTTCTCTGACCTCTTTTATTTACTAATTTAAACTCTCCGCTGGATTTCAAGTCAAAACAAATGCGGGGTTACTGCCGCGGGGTCTCCAGCCCACGAGAAAATGGATCCAGGAATATTTATCTATGAGAAAACAAACTCTCTCAATGAGAGAAACAACTTATCAATGGCATCTCAGGAATACTCATCTGAGATAGACTGACACAACTTCCAGATGTGGACGGCCCCAGCAATAACAGCCTTGAGAGAAGAACAAAAGCCAATCAAATCTTGCGTAGGTCGGAGTAGGTTCTATTATTCCTTTCCACATTACAACATTCCATTTCTTCAGCCACTTTGAGAGAGTTAGCTGAAATCAGCTTGTGGTGAAAACAACCACCCATAAGTGTCTAGCGGGCATGGAGGTCAGGTAGTCCTTTGCAAGAGCATCTTGCCTACCAGGATCCCAGGTGAAGCCCCAAATGTAAAGGCTGGGATTGAATGTACTGCTCATGGGAGAACAAAATGAAAGGAATTCCAGAACTTTTTATTAGTTAGCCAGTGACCTATGTACTCCCTACCCCATCAGGGAAGACACAAAAGGCCCAGTTCTCTGTTCCCTACCTGCTGTTATAATTTCTTTGTAATTATAATTCTTTGTAATTATAATTTCTTATAATTCACCTTATGTCATATAGGTGCAGGGTCAGGGCAGGAATGTGATGTTCCTCTGTCCTATAGGTGTGAGAATTTAAGCAGAAAGATTTATGGCTAAGCATGGGCAAATTATCTGTATCTTGTTGCCCTAAATGGGTGTACTATCCCCTCCTTATCTCATATATATTTGTGAAGTTTCTGACAGGGCAGGGGAAAGAGTGAGGAATGTGGTAACTTAGGCAAGGCTGATTCTATGTAAATACTTCAGGCAAGGGTTACTTGAATTCTGCCTCAGTTTTTTTTTTTTTATATCTAACAGTGAATAGGGAAGTACGCTAGATACCATCCCTTAACTATTAATTATCTTTCCATTACTGCAATAGAAGCATGAGGCAATCAAATTATAAGGACAAAAATTTAATCTTTTCTCACAACTTTGCAGATTTTAGTACACAACCACACGACCTCATTGCTGTGGGTCATATAGTGGGACAAGGGTTTCACCTTATGATTTCCATGAAGCAAACAGGGCAACAAGAGGTCAAAGGTAAAAAAAAAAAAAAAAAATAAAAATAAAAAAAAGAGGTCAAAGGTGCATGTCCTCATGAAGGTGTGTCCCCAGTGACCTAGGACCTTCCACCAAACTTGCTTGAAGTTTCTAACACATTCATACTGCACAAAACTGAGGGCATAGCTGTAGACACACAAAGCACTGAATAATAGTTGAAAACTAAATCACAGCATACAGTCAGCCTTTTACTAAGTCAGGAACTTCAAATCCATTATCTGTAAGTATAATGCTTTAAGATTTTCTCTGAACTATCATACCGCAATCTTCCTGTCTGTTTCATTAAAAAAATATATTTATTTAATTATTTATTTATTTGGTACAAGGTCTTGCTATGCAGCTCAGACTAGTAGATATCCTGTTGTTTAGCCTCCCCAGCACTGAGACTACAGGCATGTACCACCATGCCTGGTTTCAGTGGCCAGCACGGTATACCCAGGGTTCTGGGGCCTGGCATGGCCAGTACTGCAGATTGAACTCACATCCTTGTACTTGGCAGGTAGGCACTTAGACCACTGAGCTATCTCATCCCTGACTTGGTTTTCTTGTACAAGGAACTGTTCCTGATGACTCACAGTCAAAGCTTCTCTATTACACAGAAGAAAATGAGCAGGATGGAGATCATGAATCTGCCCATCCAGGTAGCAGATCCGTAATCTCTCTTGACTGATGGAGTTTAAGAGGAGAAATGTCTTTGAGGAGAATGTCCTCCTGTGGTTATGATGGGAAACACCATTTTTTCCCGATCCACAATTTTTTCCCATCTGCTCACTCTAAGAACTCAGGGAAAGAAATAGGGCAATTACTTCTCATTTCAAAAGATATGTATATTTGGTCACAAGCATACCTAAGATGTGCTATTATTATTGAAAAAGCTATAATGTAAAAATAAAATTTGAAAGAGAACCTCTCACAAAGTTCACCATGAATAACACTAACAATAATGGCTTTCACCTAAACTAGTGATGTATGAATCATTGTGTGGTTTATCTGAGCACTGAGAGTAAAATATTTGCTAATCTTTCAAATACACAAAATGAAGGTCCTCATCCTTATTACTTGCCAGGAGATTTTTCTCTATGAAGCAACCCAGACAAAGAAATAACCACCCTAAATATTCTCCAAATGGTAAAGATGGACAGCTCTTAGGAGTGGACGTAACCAGGAGGGTTCTGAGGACATGGGATGCTAAGGGTGCGCAGTACTAGTGGGTGTTATAAGTTATACTTCCCAGGATTTGACTGGTTGGTATGTGTGTCTGAGTGATAGACACCCAAGTTTTCATCTCCTTGCAGCAGTGTGTCTCTCACTGCCTTGGAGAGCACATGGTAGCCAGAATTCTTTCTGTCCCTATTCATTGTGCCTCACTCAGTGACTTGTACTGATCCCACCCAATCACGTGCCATATGCCTGGAAGTAGCACCTAAAATTCATAGGATAATGAAGTTTTGTTTTTTCCCAGTATGAGAGGACATTTCAGTTATTACTGTTGATTTTAATACATTGTAATATTTAGAAGATTTACAGAATTTCTAATAATACTTAGATCAGATGTGAAACTTTGGGACAAACTTGGAATGTTGCCTAACTTATAATTTGCACTTTAGGTAAGGCTTAAGGCCTCATCCAACACATAAATTTCTTTTCCACCTTATCTTTGTTTTCAGAACCTCCAGGGCACCACGTTGATCCCACAGGCAGTGGTTATGATGATGTTGAAGAGATACTTTTTCCTCAAATTCTTTCTTTCCTTGGGAGGAATGAGAGGAATTTCATTCCAGAAGGAAGAGATGGTGCCAGGTATTTTCAGACAGATGGCTGGACAGTTCTTTCTCATATTCAGTTACTTTCATATGCAAGATTATTTTGGACTCATTGATCATAATTATCCCTTTGCTTTAAGAATTGATATAGCCTTCCATACCTAAGTGGTATCTACTCCACTTCATCTCATGTTGTAGTTATTATATCCTTTCTCTTTCTTTCTTTTTCTTTCTTTCTTTCTTTCTTTCTTTCTTTCTTTCTTTCTTTCTTCTTTTTTCTTTCTTTATTTTTCTTTCTTTATCTCTCTCTTTCTTTCTTTCTTTCTTTCTTTCTTTCTTTCTTTCTTTCTTTCTTTCTTTCTTTCTTCTTTTTTTCTGCAGAATTGGGTATTGAACTCAGACCCTTGTGCTTGCCAGGGAAGCACTTATTCCACTGAGCCATCTCCCCGGCCCCCTATATCCTTTCTTAAAGAAGAGACATTGTATTCTCTGTATTATGCACACCCCATATTAGATGTAGACACATTGTACTGCAATTTAAAACAAAAATTTTGAAATGACACGCAGGATGTGTAGGCACATTTATTTTATGTCAAATAGATATTGTTACTTGACTATAAGTCCCCACAGGCTCAGGAAGGCAGGTTTCATAGGATGATAAGCAAAAAAGTGGAGTACTTGGGTGTCTGATTGTTCCTACAAAATGCATCATTTTGACCAGCTATGCATGGAGTGACCAGCCTTTTTTAAGAGACAGAAGCAACCAAAACTGCAACACAACTGTCGGCTGGGTTTCTCAAGTATTTTGTATGGAGTGGGAGGGCATTTTGATATATCATAAGTTGCACAAACATAGTGTTTTTGCTCTATATTAATTCCCCATGGCAATACATATAGGTGCCCTTTTAAACTGTGAGGCAATTGTAACTTATTTAGCAGTAAGATAAATCACATCTATGAGCTCTAAGTATTGTGTTTAAAAAGCCATATGACAACATTATGAAGTTAATGTTGGGCACAATTAATGTTCAGTATGAAATGACTTTAATTTGATGATCATAAAATTTCTTCACTTGGATGAAGAGATAAATTCCCTTCATTTTTTCAGTTGACATATAAGGCCAGGCATTCTGCTCAACATGAGAAGGCATCCATAAGGAGCAAGATATCATGGGATTAGGTTGAACTGTTCTCTTTTAGCATTTGCAGGGGCACTCCAATTGTTTTCATGAATACTTTGAGATCAAGTGTGTTCTACTATTGATATACTAAGGAGTCATGAGGGGCCATCTCCTGTTCCATTCCTGAAGGAATCATATCAGCCTGGTGTGTAAAAGAACACTGAAGTCAATATCCCCTGCCTTGCTATTGCTGTCACTCCTCTTTCCCATTACTTAGATCAAGATAAAGTTCTATATAAAACAGACAGTATGAAGTATGACATCTGCTTTGGTGGTGTACACCAGTAGTTGCATTCCTAGGCAGGCAGACACAGTAGGCTTACTGTGAGTTCAAGGCCTGCCTGGGCTACATAGTGAGTTAAAAGTCAGCTTGAGTTTAATAGCAAAACCCAGTCTCAAATGCTTATCCTCATAAAAAAGGGCCAGTATGAGGCAGGTCTCTCTTGCCTTTTAGACAAATCCGGTCTCTGCACAGATATCTAGCAGTCATTTATACACTAGTCTTTCCTTCTGCAGGCATATTATGCACCGTTTTTCTGTCATCTCTCAAACCTGCACTCTCCTTTACTGTTTCAGGCAACTCTCTTCAGACTCCCAAGAAGCTACCCTGTCTTTCATGGAAGAGACAGTGTCTCCAGTGGCCTTGAGAGAAGAAGAAACTGGCTATGATGATATTGAGCTGGGTGCCATATAGTGCCTTTTTTGGAGCAACCACATATGCAATTATCTCATCTTTGATTTATTCCTCAAATAGATGAGAAAAGTTTCTTCTTAGTGATTGCAAAATTTGAATGCATATCTGTTGTGAACAATGTTATTCAGAGTGAATATTCAACCTTTCACTGACCAGTGTTATTCTTTGTAAGAATGAGGAATACTGACCTCCACTGACTTTGGAAAATGCGGTCCTTGTACACAGTATTTTGAATGAGAGAAATCCCAATTGGTAGGTTCATGTTATCTTCTCCAAAAGATCACACTCTTGCCTCCTGTTAGGTGCAAAGTTTTTTACTTGGATAGCATAAAAATATGAAAAGTCATGCTGAATTCAGTGCTTACATTCAGGAGGATGATCAAAAATAGAGAAGAAGGGGCAGGGGGATGGCTCAGTGGAATAAGTGCTTCCCTGGCAAGGGCAAGGGTCTGAGTTCAATCCCCGGTTCCAAAAAAAAATAGAGAAGTGGGGGACATAGCTCAGTGGCTTAAGTACCTACCTAACAAGCAGTAGGTCCTGAGTTTTATCCCTGGTACCAAAAAAAGAGAAATAGCAACATAATAAAAAAAAACATAAAAAGTTACCCACATTTGTTCCAAAACTATTGCATAAAATATTTTATTTATTCTTTCCTAAAACCTAGAAGTCTGATGCAAAGTGAATGGGGTTGGTGAGTTGTATGGGAAATGCATGAACCTCTTGAAATCATAGCCAAGTTTTATAACATATAAAATTTATTCGATCATAGGTTTATACTTCACTTCAATGGTCTAGTTTTTGTCTTTTAAATTATCTATTATTTTTATCGTTTATTTTTGCAATAAATGATGTTCACATCCTTCATATAAAGTAGTGCACGTGCATAATATATCTTAATTCATTTTAATCACTTCCTCTCTCTTCCTTCCTCCTCCTTTCATCTCTTGTCCTCTTCCTTTTGGCAAAACTTCTCTCTCCCCTTTCCCTATAAAACCCTCTACACATCCTCATTCCCTATTAAATTGCAATTTCTGTTATTCATCTCATTCTAGTGTATTATATTGGCCTTGATATTATTTTATGTTTTAGCACCTTACTTGGTACTTGTTTAGATGTCTAACTACTCTAACTTACCCAACTGCAAAGCTCTCTAAGTGACTAAACTTATTGCAGATTTTACCTTCCCAAACTTTTATAACATATTTTCAGTAGCTGTTGGACAGGTCAAGTGAAATATTGCAATTATTCTGCATAAAATATATGAGTGACTAATTGAAAAATTCAATTATTTGCATGCGCATATAATGAAGATATCCACATTTACATCCTAACTGTATAATTTTTTTTTGTATTTCGGGGAAGGGTCTACAGGGTGTTCAGGATCACACTACTAGATTGGAGTCATAGGGATCTGACTCTACAGTCTCCCAAGAGCTGGGATTACAAGTGTGCTCCACCACACCCAGTCTCAATTGCTCTCTGAGTGCACCCTGGGGTCAAGACTGGCATGGCAGGACTGGAATCAAATCCCTGGCCCCTGTGCCTATTGCAGGCATTTTAATCTGCTGAGGGATTTGACTGATCCTCTAACTGTACAATTTTTAAAACATTATCTTTATTATATTTACTATCTTTCATATATCTTGTTCAAAAGTAAAGTGTATATTAGTGTAAAAGATATTCAGGAAACTACTATTAGTAGCCACTATGAAGACAACAATATATAATGTATTAATTATTGAAGCTATGCTATGAATTGGTTTTGAAACTGTCTCATCGCTATTTGACTCTCAATAAAATTAATACAAGGAAAAGAAAAATAAAAATACAAATTAAAATTATTCAGGAAATGAAAGTTTTCTAAGATTCATTACTTGTTTTTGTAGTTAGTTTTCAAAAATATCTTATTGAAAATATCTATTTTGAACTAGAAGTTCTCTACAACTGGAAATCAAATTTCTCCTTACAACATCATGTATTTCCTTAGAGTAGTTTTAGAAACAAACAGTAGTAATTTTATGGCTTTTACTAATCACATTGGACACCTTTAAAATTGTGTTTGTGTTTGAAATCTGCTTCTTCTTTGTGAGAAGAATCTCTTAACTCTCTAGATTATACCATTTTTCATTCTTTTCTCCCAGTTTTGAATAATTTTTTGCTTTGGGTAATTTTTAAGCATATTTCTTATCAATTCAATGAGTTAAAATTAAATACAATTATCAGATAATTAATGAGGCACAGTCACATTAGAAATAATTATATTTAATTTATTTTGAAGAATTATGTCCTAAAGAAAAATATACATAGAAAAAAGTCAGAAGTAGGCTATTAAATTTACAAATTTAACAGGAAAATATGGCCACACTCTCCAGACCTGTCCAGACACAGCCCAAGCTGAGACCCTTCATATGTGTGGGAGAGCTCCCGCATTTCCCTGTGCCCGCTGGATCCCTGCGGACCCAGCCCAAGCCCAGAATGTGAGTGAAACCTTTAGCTATGCTCTCAGGACCCCTCTTGGAACTCTTGAAAACCAGCCCATGTCCTGCGTACCCAGCACAGGCCATACATACAGGCCTAGTGTGATATCCCTGCAGAGAGGTTAGGGGACAGAACCACCCAGCTAATCCAGGAGCAGAACATCTTGCCACAGGGGCCCAGTGGGTTCATTTCCATTGGCTGCAGCAGGAAGAAGCTGGTCACAGCAATCAGACATAAGTCAGGCACAACTGGATGAATTCAAACCCCACAGATCTGCACCCAGTAGGGTGAGGCACTTTACTAGAGCCACATCTATAAGTGCAACCTCCCTCTTTCTCTCTTGATTGAGAGAGGAGGCAAAAGGTAACCAGGATAAATAAATCTGTCTGGAAAACACCAGGTACATCAAGGGGAGGTAATCAGACAGAACTTAGCAGAACTAACTTAAATACAAATTTCCAATTTAACATCTGCTTAGCTATACAGAAATAATGATTGCTTTTACTATTTAAAATACAAAGCCATCATTTACAAAAGTTTTTCAAAAGCTAAAAATCATTACTGATTATTAGTGTTCCTTATTGTTCTGTAAATACAAAACTATAACTGTCTTAACCATATAATATTTCTTGGGTAAGAATTTCAGTAGGTGCTAAAGTTATAACTGCACCAAATTTCAACACCAAAGGTCAAAGGACAGTGCTATACAAAATGACAAAAATAAAGACTAAAATGCAATCTTAGGCCCGAAATCACCCAGAACAAATGCAGAGGACACTATCACAGTAGAAATTGGGAATTACAGCTGAAATGTCTGAATTAATAGGGTCTGAAATAAAGAAACAACTGCAGAAAGGTATAGAGGAACTCAGATCTGAAATAAAAAATCTCTGAATTAGTAGCATCTGAAGTAAAGAATCAACTGAAGAAACTTATAGAGGAAATCAGATCAGAAATAATCTCCAAGGTAAAAAAAAAAAAAGGAAACTATAACTATGATTAAAGAATTGATAACAGCTTCTAAAGAAGACAACGATAAAAGATTAGAGAATAATAGAAAAACGATGGAATCCTTGAATGAGCAATATAAGAAGAAATAGATCACATGAAGCAGAATCAAAGAGATAGAGGAACTTAAAATTTTAATAACAAGCTTACAAAACCGTTTGAATAAAAGTGAAAATAGAGTTTCAGATCTTGAAGACACTATAGGAGCTAGTGAAAAGGCAATAAAAAAATCTCTTAAAAACAACTAGGATGCAGGAAAACATAATTCATTACCTTTAGGATGATGCAAAGATGAACAATGTGAGAATAATAGGCATTAATGAGAAAGAAGGATCAACACAAATGAAATAAAAAGATTATGAACAGAAGTAATAGCAGAAAACTTCCCAAATATGGGGAAAAAATCTGACACTCAGTAACTGCAGCATATAGAACTCCAAATACCCTCAACCCAATTAAAAATACACCAAGACATAGAGTAGTTAAGATCCCAGAAATTCAACACAAGAACAATATACTAAACACTTCCAGAGAAAAGAAATAGATCATATTTAAAGGAACACCCATCAGAATAATGGAACATTTCTTTTTGCAAACCATGGAGTCAAGAAGAGCATGGAGCAAAATACTTCAGTCCTTTATGAAAACAATTCCAGCCCAGATTACTATACCTTTCAAAATTCTTCCAAGTTTAATGGAGAAGTGAAATAGTTCCAGGATGCAAAACAACTAAAGAATTTCATTACGACAAAGCCAACCATACACAGACTATTAAAAGATATTCTATTTTTTTTCAAAATTTTATTGATAAACAGATAGCAATGAGACAGTTTCAAATCAAATCGGAAGTACAGTTTCAACAAATAATACACTGCATATATACTTCTTAGTGGCT